ATAAAGATCTCTCTATATTGATTGCTTAATTATATTAAAATCGATACAATTTCTAAATTTAACATTACTTGGAATATCATTTGTTAAAAATCAGCAAGGTATCCTTGGGGATGTACAATTGCTCATATTAATATAAATAGATATAATTCAGTTTAAAATCGGCATGGAATAATTGTACATAATTCAAATGCTATAATTTCACTTTTTGGCGAAATAATCACTATTCTTCTAAAAATAATAGTAATAGGTAAAAGATCAGGTACCCGATTTTTACTGATTTTTATTCTAAACTGTCCTTTTTCTATTAGTGACCACTAACTAATACAACCCATTGATTAGCTGTAGTTTAAATTAATGCTTTATCAATTATTATATTGTTCGTGTATTATGCTACTAGGATTACAGGTATGGGTCAAGGTATCTCTTACGACAGTGATCTAGCAAAATAACAGATAAAAAATTACCAATAAATATATACAGTCATGCCTTTTGTTTCAACGAGTACATGGGCCAATCACCTAATTCGTTGAATTTGAGGTTTAGTTTGTTTCAATAAAGATAATTCGTACTTTTGCTCAGCAGCAATATACACGCTTTTAGAAGAAGAAGAGGATGATGAAGATGATGGTTGCAGAGACATTTTTATAAAGAGATTATTAGTTGTGCATAAAGAGATAAAATTATAGAGAATTATAATTTTAATTATGTAGAATCATAGAATTATAGTTTTACCATGTTTTTAGTTATTCTTAATACCATGTGATTTCGATGAAACTTGTGTTAAGAATCCTACCAAAAAAATCGCTGTTTGTTATAAAACGATTTAAATATACTGTAAAATTCGTTGAAACAAATATTTGCAATATTTTTTTTATACAATCAATTAATGATAGATTTCTGTATTGGGTCCATTGTACGTATATTAATTTATCTCAAAACCTGCATTGGGACGAAAAAATAAATCCAGTTTTGGTAGCTTTGACAACTAAAGAAAATGGCTCTATGAACTTGTCATTTTGTTTGAAAAAGAAAACCCAAGCTGATTAAATTAAACTTTTTAAGCAAATTGAGGATGGATAATGGTTTACTAATCCTTGCTTCAAGGGAAGAAGTATATTTAGCCCACATTTCAACAAAATTAAAAAGATGCTGTTACACTAAAAATCATGAAAATAAAGGCAAGAAAACTACAAATTAGAAAAAACCGAGATTGTCAGATGATACTTTAAACAAAATCATTGAGGAGCGTGTTCGTGCTAAACAACCAATAAGCAAAGCCTCTCAAGCCCGAGGTGACAAACAAAAATGGGACGGAAAAATATTTTACCATACCATTCATTTACCTTTTGTCTAATTCTATTGATCACTTGAATATTCAAAGGATTTTTAATCCACAATTGTCTTTCCTTAATAAGACCGGATCTTAGGCGATTAGCACCATAGAAGAAATAAATACTAGTGTTTTAAAAATCCAGATTCTCGCTTAATATTAACATTAATTAATTAAATTATAATATTAAATTTTTATCTCCCGAGAATTTTGAAATTCTCTTTCCATTTTAGGGTAATTTCTGGGTTTACATATGAAACACTTGTTTTTTGTTGTGAGCATGTGTGGGTAAATAATAAGAATAACATCATTGATGTTATATATATGGATGGATTTGTAAAAAAATTTTACACCTAGATAATAATAATAACAATAAAATTTTTTTAACGCATACATGCACGCACACGCACACATTGCGCACATGCGCAAATATAATATACCATTCATCAGTTCAAATGATGATAATCTTTGATAAAATGTCTGTGATTTGGAAATAAAGGATGAAACGAAAGAAATTAGAAAATGGGTGGTTGCAGAATTACATTGCAGCGGATTGCGTAGAAAAAGGAAAAGAAAAAGAAAACAATTTAAATATTATTATTAAATATTATTTTATTTCGTTTGTTTGCAAGAACGCCAAATCATGCATCTTTATTGTTTGAGATTGTGCAGAATGTAATTCAATTCCCTAATACAAAAACAATAATAAATAATGACAGTTTATCGATAGTACAAAACTCACAAAATTTAAACACGTATTTTCGATGATAAAGAACAATGTATATAGTAAATAAAGAAAATTTTCTTGAAGTCATGTGCCCAATTAATTAATTCTATTTCTAGCAATAATAACTTTTTAGTTTTAGTTATTTTAATTTAATTTTTTAATTAATTAACTTTATCGAGATTATTATTATCATTGAAAAAATCGAAAAAAAAAAGGTTTAATCGACTTTGTCAGCTGAATTTAAATTGACTTTAGAAGTCAGCTGTGCGTGAGTTGTTTTTCCATTAATATCTATGACCGAATCTTTCCTTGTCGAGAGTGAATGAGTGATGGTGGTGACCAGGGCCATTATAAAAATTATCACCATTATTATTATTATTATTATTATTACTATTACTATTACTATTATTACTATTACTATTGCATCATTATCATTATTATCCATTTTCCTCGCACGCAAACATACAATCATCTCCATTCTTTTTCGACCCCAATTATGATGCTACGTATGACTAATCATGAAAACAGCGTGAAAATAAAACATTGAATATTAAATGGGGGAAAAAAACGAATTTCAATTTTATTATTTTTCATATGAATATTAAAACTATTTAATAGTTATTTTAAACCCCACACAAATAAACAATTTCTTTTTTTTATTTAAGTCAAATACACGTTTTTCTCTTTCCCATAAAAAAATATGCGTGTGTGTATATAAAAGTGTATATTAAAAAAATATTTAGTAATGATTATAATGATAATAAAATAAGAAAGTTGCTTGTATATATTCTATATATGTATATAAATATGTACAATAATTTATTAATAATAAATACCTGTTTCTGCTATACCAATAATGTCTCTATTTTGTAAACCTATAGGAATTGCTTGTCGTTGAATAGGTGTTGGTTCCTTATGTCCAATATTTTCAATAAGATCAAGTATTCTTTGTGGTAAACCAAATTCCTTCCACGGCCTTATAGAATTTGGAATACTGCCACCTTTAGTTGCAATATTGAAATCCTCTTTGAATATATGCCAGTCTCTCTCCTTCATTTCTGTTAAAGGTTTTTCTGATCAGTATCGATCATCCCACATGGTTTTTAATTCTTTTCGCCTATCAATTTCCATTTTCATAAAAAAATAAGTTATTGATTTTTTTTTAACAATAATTCAAAAAAAGTTTGTTTAAAAAAAAAAAAAAAAAGAAAAAATACTCGGCTCGACCTTTCTGATCCTTTGTTCTAATAATTGATTATAGAATGTTGCACGATCTCTTTTTTGCTCCTTAATATCAATACCAGCAAGATGACCATGTCCAAACATTTGAGCTTTGCGTTTATTTGCATATAAAGGATTAAAATCTTGTGAAGTAACTTCTCCAGCATCCTAATCAAAAACAAATTTCTTCTCATCATTTTACGTATTTTACTTTTTTACGTCCACCCACCACTCATATAACGTTCCTATTTCATATATATAATATAGTTTTTGACATGTAAAGAATACATAACCAGAAAAATGGTAAACTAAATAAATATAATAATAAATAAGATTCATAATAACAGGAATAGATCAATTAACCCTCTAAAGAAAAAAAAAATGAAATCATTACTCTGATTGCTTGCAGTTCCTTATCATCCGTTTTTGAAGTATCATCATCATCATTTTTATTATTTAGATGTTTGTCATTACCATCTCTATCTCTTCCTTTTATTCGATCACGATCGTAATGAACATATTTATCACGATCATAACGGTCATAATAATCTCGATGATCTCTACCATAACCTAAAGTATAAATATAAATAAAAATGCAATAAAGACAGAATAAAAGGCCAATTTGGTACGTTATTATTTAGTCAAGAATTTTGGCTATTGAAAATAAAAATAATTGGTTTATATTTTGATAGTGTAGAGACCGGTTGATAATAAAACAAAGCATCCGTCCGTACCTTATTATTTTCAATTTTTTATGTTTCTCGTAATTTTAACATTATTTTAATTAATGAAGTTTTCATTACAGAATATATAAGGATCCATTTGAATGGAATATATAGGATTAATTTACCACAAAAATAATGACATTAAGAATCAAACGGGGCTTTAAGCCTTTTTCAACATTGTGCCAAAAAAAATTTCAATTAAACAATAATATCACATGATTGATACTGCAGACTGAGTTTCAATTATTCCCCGAGTAGGGATCTATATACGGAATAGAAAAAATTTATCAGCAATTTATTAATCCGTTTCAACAGTATCATATATTTCTTAATTCTTGCAAAATTATTAATAAATTTCCCTTTGTTTTATTATTCAAACTACTATATTTTAAAGACACTTGCCGTAAATGATTGAGCTGGTAGCTACCATTGCCGTAAATAGCTATTGGTAGCTACCATTTGCCGCAAATAGATACGGTTGCCGCAAATAGATATGGTTGCCGCAAATAATTATGGCTGCCGCAAATAGATACAGTTGTGCAAATAGATACGGTTGCCGCAAATAATTATGGCTGCCGCAAATAGTTGATATATTACTGGTAACTATCACAAGAAGACAACTATTCTGGTAGATACAATCATAGAACACTGTAAATAATTATTACCATTATAGTTACAAATGATTATTACTTTCAAACAATACTATCAATACAAGTAATTACTACTGCTGTCATTAACTGTTATAAATTTTATAAATTTTATTAAATTTTACATTACTAATTATTTTATTGACATAACAAAAAAATTGAACAAGATATTCAGAAAATAGATTTTTTCCATTTAAACTTTAAATTGTGAAATTGAAAAATTTTTAACTATTTACTAAATATATAAAATATTCAATATATTATTCTAAATCACTTAGATAATTAGAAGCTAATTGTGCTGGGTCGTAATCTTCTATTTCTTCAGTTGCTTCACTGTTTGTATTCTCCTCTTGATTTGCTGTAACATAATCATTATTATTTATAACAACAAATACTTCATTTAGTGAGAGAATTCTTTCCAACTCTAATTCAATGTCATCTCTAGGTTCAGAATCATCATTATTTTCAGGAAGCAATTCTAGAATCAAATCATTATTTTCATCATCTTCTTCTTCTAGAGTATTATATGCAGCATTTATCCAACTCTTAACATCATTTTCACTTTTATCCTGAGCCACAAATCCAAGCTCTTTCTTTGCATCAGTAATATAATATCTGTGAATTTTAGCCATTGCTTCTAATTTTTCTAGCGATAAATTTTGATGGTGTTTGCCATAAAACCAACCCAATGAAGAAAATATACGCTCACAGCAAGCAGAGCTGGGTGTGACTGCAAAAATTTTTAAAGCAAGTTTCTTGAGGTTATCTGTTTGATCATTGCACGTCATCCACCAGGAATAAGGAGTATCATAGTTGTTTGAGAAAGGTGCATCATATGGTTCTGAATGAAGTTGATACTTACGTAATTGAGCATACAGATCTTTACATGAATCTTGATTATGTCCTAAATCTTTCCAAATACTTCCAGCATGCATTAAAATTTTCGGAAAATATTGTTTATTAATGCCAATGCCTATTTTTAATTAATATTAATATTTAATATAATCATTTAAGATTGTAAAAATTATAAAAATTATAAATTAATTATTAAATAACCTTTATATTTAGGATGTAGGTAGTATGCTAACAAATATGTATCATTCATGAATTCTGAAAATCTAATATTAATATAATAATAAAATATTATAGCATTTAAATATGATTATATTTTAATTATTAGTTCAAAATAGTATTTACCTTTCATTGAACACTTTTATGCAATGATTTCGAAATCCTTTATAATCATCAGATGGTAATTGTTTGAATGCAGCAGCAATTTTGATGAGACTAATATAACAATCAGCAAGTGAAACACATGAGCTTTCTAATTCTTGAATGGCTGTTCGGATTGGTTTTAATGTTTCAGCTAAAGCATTTATATCTTCAAAAAAACCTCTTCGTTGAAGAATATTTTTTACAGTATCATTTGAAATAATATCAAGATTGGAATGAATTACCTATTTATTATATTTATTTAAAAAAAGCTTAGAAATAAAAAAATGTCAATTAAAAAAAATATATAACATATGAAATATTAATTTACTTCTTGTAAACATGGTTGTAGCCTCACAATTGATGATATAGAATCATGTGTAGTAACCCATCTTGTGGGCACATATTGTTTCAAACCACCACCTTGTATTGCTTTTTCTCTAATAAGTTGGTTTAAGTGATTATTTGCTATGTAAGACTTTTTAAAAAACTTAACAACAATACTTGTTTTTCTAATTAACCTCTCTGCAAATCCATGTTTAATTACATCTTTTGAAATTAGATTAAAACAGTGATTTATACATCTCAAATTTAATATATGTTTATATTTATTATTGACTATTGTTCTTGCCAAACTAACATTGGAACCTGAATCTGATAAAAGTGCAACAATTCTTTGTGGACCAATTTTGGTCATCACATTTTCAATTTTTTCAGCTATAATTTCTGCTGTATGTCTTTCAGCAGACAAATCTTCTAACTTATATAAATACTCCTTTTTATCAGAAGTTGTAATGACAAAATTCCAAATTGACAGACCATTGGGGCTACCCCACCCATCAAGGCCTATAATGATAAATTAATTGTGAGATAATTAAATAAAAATTAAAACTATAGTAAAAAAAAAATTTAAAAAAATTTATGACGCATACTTAATGTTATATTTTTACTTTTTGCAAGTAATTTTTCAATCTTTAAATTAACAATTCTAAAAATATGGATTTTTAATTGCTGAAAAAGGAATGTCACACATTACAAATGCTCTTAAAAGAGAACGATGTCAATTTCTTTTTTGCGTCCTAATGGTAAATTAATTTTATCATAAAAATCATGCAATGTGCTGCCAGCTACTGATCTTGGTCTTTTAGTATTCCGGTTTACATCATTGTCATAATCATCATCATTACTACTTTCATCAAGAGGTGAAGATCCATATTCTTTTAAAAAAGCATTTAAAATTGTGTTACGAATGTCATGAGGAACTTGTAGACAATTATTAGATAGATGAGCAGCCATTCTTTTGGGTTTTCCACGATTCCAAACTCTTTTACAAAAATTACATGTTGCTTTGTAATGACCATGACCTGTCACTTCTCCCATTTTGAAGTAGTTCCAGACATAAGAAAATTGTCTACTTTCCTTTTATTTAATGCCTTTTTATTAGAAGACCTTGATGAACTTGAAGGAAAAGAACTATTGTTGATTTGGTTAGAAAGGAAAAGAGCTATCTTCATTCTCATCAGGAGGAAAAAAGTTGTCTTCAAGATTAATGTCATTGATATTATTTGTCATATTTTCGTGAGAAATTTTTTTTGAATTATTTGTAAATCAGTTCAGTAAATTTTTTTGAATTGTAAATGATGAATTTAATTGGTCAGTCATTCGTGAAAAATAAAATTTGCAATTAATTATTTGCAGCAGCTATATCTATTTGCAGCAGCTACAGTCAAAGCTCGTTATAGTGGACCCTTGGTTCCATATGTAATTTTTCTCTTTTTTTCCACTATAACAAAATTTTATTATGTTTTCCACTATATCGAGCGGAATTAATTAGCATTGGAAACAAAAAAGATCCACTATAATGAGATTTTATTATGTGTCCACTATAACGAGATCCACTATAACGAGCTTTGACTGTATATCTATTTGCGGCAACCGTATCTATTTGCGGCAGTCATAATTATTTGCGGCAGCCGTATCTATTTTATAATGGTAACTACCAGGGGTAACTACCCTATGGTAGCTACCATTGCCGCAAATAACCAATTACGGCAGGTGTCTTTAGTATATATATATATATATATATATATATATAGTATTATATAATGGATGACAATTCATGATCAAAGGTAAAATGTTGATTTGATGAAGTCAATGAAAAGTTGAAAAGTAAAT